TGCCAATAAAAAAGGATATTTTTTGTTTTTTTCCTTTTTTGGTTTGTATCACCGGCGCAAATAAGTAAATCGCGTATTAATATCCAACTTTTTGGCTGCGGCTGTGACTTTATCATGTGATCATTTTGGCTAATTATTTATAATATCGATTTGGTAATAAGAACTCGACTACGGAATTAGCCTCGAGTATGGAGCGTCTTGAAGCTCTCGCTGTACTTGATAAATTTGCCGCAACACGGCAAAAGAAATTTGTTCCCACACTTCCTATTATTCGAGGAGTAAATGATGGAAGTAGTGGTGATAAGGAATTAATTCCAATTGTTGATACCGGGATTGCTCCTGAAGGCCACGATCAACCCGTAGCGGAGATCATAAGGTAATATTAATTAAATTTATAGCATGATAGCCTAAGAAAATTTTTTTTTTTCATGCATTCAATTTCGAAAAATTATTTTAATAGCCAACAGGTCGATTATCCGTCACCACCGGTTGATTGCAACTCATTTTTTACCAGAGACGCTTACGAGAAATATTCGTTTTATTCATTTCGTCGAGCATGCGAGATTTTTTCTATGCATCAAGAAAAAAAAGATATATCCATCCAAAAACCTGATAACGTTATTGATAAATCACAAATAAATGAGCAAATCACGAGTCCAATTAAAAGTGATGGTAAGGATTATCTTTACGTTACGCGTATATAGTGATTTTGTTTTTTTTACCGATTTTTTACTTAAAGACTTATATTGGCATAGATGACTTGATTATGGATGATCAATGTAGTGAAGAAGAATTGGATGAGATAAAGACAAAGTCAAAACTGGCTGTACAGGTGGGGTATAATTCGAGCTTTCCCACTTTAAAAAGGACGACTGATTTGACCTCAATAAAAAGCTCGAAAACTACTTCATTACTGTCCGTTAAGGAAACATCCACAGGACCTCCTTTAAATTCGAAACAGGAATTGTCTTCATCATCTACAAAGGCTGTATCAAGTAAAGTTGTATCAGAAAAGCAATCTGAAGAGGTTGAATCACAAGAGTCTGTAGATGTAATTGGACCATTCTTACAACTGCTTGATAAACAAAGAAAACAATTAGAAAAGTCCAATGCGGTTCGAAATGCTACCAATTCTACACCAGTATCACCCATTACGGACAGAAGGGCTTCAAATGTTTCTGATGCGTCAAGTGCATCAGCAACATTCAAAACCCACTTTTCTTCGATGTCTGAAGAAGAACACCTCAAATATCTTCAACTCAAAACGCTTTCTACGACTAATGTACGTTTGAACTTTGAATTACTTGATGATTATATAATTATGCTAATTTATTTTTCTTAAAAAAAAAAAGCCTACTTTGATATCTGAACAAGACAGAAATTTTCTTTTAAACATGAATGAACGTATTCAAAAAGAGAGAGAGGAATATATTAAATGGCAATATGATAGAGCTCAAACACGACTTTCGTTCTTAAATCAAAATATAGCTGATCATGTAGAGGTTTGTTATAGCATTACATTTTACTTTTTTGTATTTACATTCGGATTTTACTAAATTGTATACAGCATCATCTTACATTCAACAGACAACGCGTTATTAAAGAGTATCCGGTAAGTATGCACGCTACATTTTTAAGTGAATTGTTGTTTTCATATTTCATATTATAACATATTTTGCTTTCAAAAGCGTTTTTATGAGCTTATGTTTACAATAGGCCTTGCACTTCCACCTCCAGGCCCTGGAGAACCTACATTAAAGTTCAAGCAAACAATAAAAGCAAATGTAAGGCTATATAAATAATGTTATAATCCTTTTTTTCTTTGTTATCTCACAATCACTTTCATACTTAATAATTGTAGGGAACGTGCTATAAGTTTAGTCTTCAACCATTATCAAAACCAATACCTATATCTAGGGTCAAAGAATATTGGGTACACGATAAGGTTGCTGATACGTTTAATGCTAGCAATCCAACTGATTTGCTAAATGGTTCGAAGCTAAACAACGACATAGAAAATGATATAAATAAAACCCTAATCAGCAATGATAACAATGGCGGAAAAAAGACTGTTCCGCCTGCAGATTATTGGCAAAAAATGGTATTTTTCACATTTATGCTATTTATATTTATTTATTTTTTTGTTTTAAAACATGTATATTTCTATAGTGTATGCCAGCAGTTAGCAAAGATCCATTGATTCATTCAATGGTAGCTCAACACAAAGTCGACGTAGTCATATCTTCAAGTGGACTTTGTGCTCTTGTGTCACTACAAGCATCTTCAGATGTCGAACTCGAGATACCTATTTGCGTTACTGAGTCTGAAGCAGGTAACTTTTACTTATGCTTATACTAGACATTTACTTAGAAATCATACTAATTCTGCCGTTAATTGCATTTAGAAAACTCCATCCTTAAAACTATATATATTGACAAGCCTCTAGTGGAAAAACACTTGACACCTAGGAAACGAAATCAACTCTTTTACGATGTGGCATTTGAAAGTCTTGCTTTGAAACAAGGCATTGATATTAAAAATGTCTTACATCCATCAGAGGAAAGTTCGTGCGATAGACCTAAGAACGAGGGTATTTTATTTATTTTTATCTTTCCTTTTTTACTTTATTTTTATTTTTATTTTTATTTTTTACATGGGATTAAGGGACCAACGATACAGATGATTCTGAGAAATCAAATGATACTCATTCAGGAAATTTATTATATAACCTTTGGAGTTTTGGTGATATAAATATGTTGATACGTTGTAAAGCTCATGGATTTATTCAAGAACCTGATATGGATAAGAAAGTTAAAGTTTTCCAAATTATATATGTTTAAATATTGTTATTATATTACTTTTTTTTCTGCAGCTTATCTTCATATTACGTTTTGAATATATAGATTCGTATGGTAGGAATAAAAACCAAATTGGAATACCAATTGGATGTTGGATACGAAGATATCACAAATCTTGAAAGAGCTCGGTGGTGGATTTATACTTTTATCAGAAATAATGCACATTTAATGCTTGGTAGAATTAATGTACTAAACAATGAATTATGGACTATTGAAAAAAAACGAATGGCTGATATAATTCCGGACGGAAATTGGTAAGTCAATTATTAAATTATATATAACATGTATTTTGTTTAGAATTAGAGACCAATGGATTTTCTTTACATTTTTCAGGCCAAGACCTCATAGCAAGATGCTTCACCATATTTTAAAGAAATTACAAAGGTATTCTTATTTTACCGATAATTTGTATTTTTATAAACTTGAAGATTAATAATGATTAATTTTTTTTCTAAATATTAGCCTTCCTAAAGGATCATATTTATTTTCCCATTTGAAAGGAGAACCACATGCCACGGTATTCAAAAGCACTGATATTGATAACATAGACTTATCATCATCATCATCAGTAACAGCCGATAACAATCCATTAATAATTGTTCCCGAGGTCACAACACATTTATATGACCTACATAAAGCTCATTCTCAATCACCTCTTTTAGACTTGGAAACGATACCATTTATACCACTACAATGGAATGGACCTCCTAATCAAATTCCTTCCACATTTCCTATTCGACCGACTGATAAAAGACCTTTTTATTGTTTTGAGTTTCTTAGAACTGGGAATTGTAGCAATTTAGATGTAAGTTATTTTAAATCATTTTATAGTAAAGATTCATATCTTAATGACGCATAATAATGCACAAGTACTTTTTTTGTTTTGATTAGTGTTCTTTCCCACATCTTACGAAAGAGGAATGTGAAGAGACTGGTATTGTAACCAATTACTGTTTCGTATTTGCAGACACAGGAAGGTGTGATAACCGTAACGTAAGTCATCTACGTCATTAATATGTTTAATAAACCATGAAATGAACATGTTACTTATATAGTCACAGTGTCATTTTCCCCATATATTTAAGGATGAAATAGAAGTGCAAAAATCGCAAGTGCCTTCTAAGCATAAAGCGCCATCAGCGCCGAAGAAATCATCTAAAAAGAAAAAGCCCAATACAGCGGACGATCTTCTGTATATTGCAAATAACATAATTGCACCAGAAATTCAAGATTTAGATGACATGTCCGTTATAGAAAACAAGGAATCTAGTGCTAAACCTGATTTTGACGCATTGCTAAAAGGATTTAACCAATAATTAAAATGATAAGTTATTTGTAAGTATTATGTAAGTATGTAAGGTATTATGAGGTATTATGAGGGATGATATTTCACAGAATATTAATCTATATTGTTTGCATAAGTTCGCTTTCGCGTATTATTATTATTAAGAACAACTTTTTATACAAACAATTGTAATTTTGAATGTCCAAAATATCATTTGTAAAATCTTAAAAAGAAAAAAGAATAAACAAGATACTTTAACAGTTCAAAACGCTTACATATTTTCAAAGTGATAAACACTTGGTTAATGAAATTAATCTATAACTTTGTTATGACTTTGTTAATTGATTAGCAATTTCTGGTAATAAATCACCACAAGAAAAATCAATTTTTAGAAATGATAAATTATCACCTCTGGTTTCACCAAGATTGATAATAGCAATATCTTTATCTAGATCACTAGCAAGCTTGATGATTCTAAATGCAGAATAAGTAGCTAATGAAGAACCGACCACCAAAATACTTTTACAATTTTTAACTAGATCTATAGACTTTTGCTTTATGTTATCTTTAACATTTTCACCAAAGAATACAACAGAAGGTTTATAAATTCCTATAGAACATTGAGCACAAGATGGATAATTGAAAGAATCATAAGAAGTACCGTGAGGTAAATCTATATCACCATCAGGTCTTACAACAGGAGTAATTTTTCCCAACTCAATATTATTTAAGAAATCATTCCATTTAGGATTTAAATTACTTAAAATTAATTGATAATCAGATCTTTGTTTTATATGACCACAATTTAAACAATGAATTTGATTTAAAGAACCATGAAGTTCTAAAATATTTTTAGAACCAGATTTTTGATGAAGACCATCAACATTTTGAGTTATTATTTGTTGAATATAATTATTTGATTGTAAATTTGAAAGAGCATAATGAGAAAGATTTGGATTTGCTTTTTTCATTAGTGGCCAACCTAAATAAGATCTTGCCCAATATCGCTGTCGAAATTGATGTAGAGATGCAAACTTTAATAATGACATATGATAAATATGTTAACGATTTGATTTGATTTTTTTTCTAAAAATTATTATAATAGCAATAATAATAATTAACAATCTTACTTCATGATAAAATATTGGTCTATAATTTGTATTTATCACATAAGTTCCCTTTTGATTATATTTAAAGAATCAATACTTTTATTGCTTTTATTAACCTTATTGATAAATTTGATAATAATTATTTGCTATTACCCTTGGACCACGATAATCTGGAATACCTGAATCCGTACTAATACCTATAAAATATTTAGATTTATAAAATATCTTGAACTCCAAATATAAAAATTATAAGGATTATACCTGCACCAGTTAAAACTAAAACTTGTCTATTACTACATTTAAATAATTCAATTAATCTTTGAATTGAATCTATTATTGATTTTGGTCTAATTAATTTTTGATTTACTGGAGTTTTTGTTAAATATGTTTTTGTAGGAACGAATATTTTCATTTTATTATATCAAGATTTTTTTTTTTTTTTTAATTTTACATATCCTTACTATGGGTAAGAGTTTGAAATTGATTTTCGATTCGATATATGTACCGGTACGACTATATTTATCAATGTTTCTCTTCACGTGGTCTATATCAATAAAATCGAAAGTTAATACTGTATATGCATAAGATTATATAGTAATATCGATACGTTGGGGTGTTCGATGCACTATGAAAATCAACTATATATATAGTCTAATAGTAAAAATTATTAGTGAATTTTTTTCGTG